AGGATCGGGGCGGCCCCTTGGGACAGGCCCCGACAGGCTCGGACGGGACACGGGGCCCAAATGTGCCGCAGAAGCAGGAGCGGCTGCTGGGGACCGGCGGGGAGGGTAGCACCGGCCTCTCCAGCACATCCTCCCTGAGCCTCACCCTTGGGGGCGACCCTCTCCTACTAAACGGGGGCCTGGGAGGCTTCAGTCTTCCCTCGTGGCCTCAGTGACCAGGGCAGCAGGGCTGGACAGTGGGACCAGATGGTCAGTTCTGGCTAGCTCAGGCCTTTGTTCCAGCATTGTTCTGGAGGGAGGGTGGCGAGGACAGCCGTGTGACACCAAGGACCAGGAGGAGGGGGTCAGGGCTCCTCGGTGCCCTGGGCCCTGTCTAATCAGGTGCTGTCTAATCAGTGCCCCTCCCCCCACAAACAGAAGACGGGCAGCTCTGCCCAAGGTCTGCGGCCAGCAGCCTCAAGAGCCGCGTGCTTCAAAAACCCTTTCTGAGAGGGGGGGCGGGAGAGAGAGAGAGAGAGAGAGAGAGAGAGAGAAGAGTGCCTGCCACAGAGGCCAGCGAGGAACCTGGGCACTGCTAGTGGGAAACGTGTCCTGGTGGCACACCGGATGGCTGAACCAGATCGTGAACAACTTTGTAAGTGTGCATCTCAGTGATCCAATTAAAAACATTTTGATAGATGAATGAAACGGATTTTAAAAAATAAAGCTTAAAATCCAAATCAAATCAAAAGCGCCTCTCTCCATCTGCACTGTCGGGGACATGCTCAGACCCCCTCCCCGAGCCCCTGCTCCCCCAGGAGCCCTGACATGGGGAATCACTGTCTGAGTCGCTGTCCCCACACTGCCTCCGGGAGGGGCTCGTGGTGGATGTGAGGGTGACAGCCCTGACCCCCAGCTTCCAGGTGGTCAGATCCCACGACACTCCCTCTGGGTCACGTAACCCTGCAGGACCCCTGACCGCTGCTGTGGGCCTTGGCCACAGGGCACTGGACAGCCACAGGACATTCCACTAGCCCATGAAGGCCACCACAGAGACCACGGCTGCCCTTACACTGTTCTTCATGCCAGCTGCCCCTCACCTGCCCAGGTGTCCCCCACCATGCTTCCCATCTTGGAATGTTCTTTTCTGCCGCTCTCAGCGAGACAGGGCTACCCCGAGCTGCCCCACACCCAGGGTGCAGACCCTACCCGGCAGGGTCCTCCCCGTGGAGTCTGCAGGAGTGGGAGATGGTCAGGGACAGAGAAGGCCACCGGCCGCTGCAGAAAGCCCTCGTCCTTCCCAGGGTGTGGGCAGGGCAGGACCCCCTGCTCCTTGTCACCAGATGCCCCGCCCTGAAGACCACCAGACCGTTTCTGAGGCACTTCACAGAAACAGGGTGCGGAGTGTGGGGCACCAGCTCTCTGTCCCCCTGCCCCCTGTCCCCCCCATTCCACTCATTCCTGAGCACAACCAGTGTGGCCCCCTGAAATAAAATAAAAAACAAAAAGGCCCCAAACTGGAAGGGGCGGACGGGGAGTGACAGAGGGGGACAGTGCTCAGGGCAGCCCAGGAGCGGCTGCGGGAAAGGCCCCGGGCCTGGGCGGGGGACGGGCAGGACAAACCGGCTCCCCGGAGCTGCACCCACTTACTCACCACCACGAACTGCAGCATCCCCATGGGCGGGTGGCAGGAAGAACAGCGTCCCCGGGATGGGGGGAGCCCCCACAGGGGCAGAGATGGCAACCTGGGGCTGCTGGAGTGAGGGGGTCGACCCCAGACGGCAGGTCAGGCCCCAGGGTGCAGCCCTGCCCCGCCTCCTCTTGACTGCTGGTCGCCTGCTCTCTAGACACAGTGCTGACCACCACACAGTCACGGCCGCCTGCTCTCCAGACACAGTGCTGACCACGGTACAAGCACGGCCGCCCACTCTTCGGATGCAGTACTGGCCACCACACAGCTAGGCACCAGGCAGAGCCCCGCCCTCCAGCCTCGTAGTCCCCTCAGGGAGAGACAGGCCCCGGGTCCCCACCCAACTCCCCCTGCCCTGTGGGCCCTCTTCCTCCAGAAACCCTCAGTGGAAAGGGAAACTGTAGACCACGCAGAATAGACTAAATAAACCCCTCCCTCCTCCTTCCGTCATCTTCCCCTCCTCCCTCCATCCCTCCTCCCTAGAAGCCCAGGCAGCACTCTCAGCGCATGGCGGGGCCTCCAAGGGCGACCATGCCAAGTGGACTCCGTGTCCACCCCAACACATGAGGATGGCAGGAGCGCAGAGCAATGGAACAACCCACATTCATGAGGGAGCTTAGTGTTCTACGGGCACAGGCCAAGGTGCCCTCCACAGGAGCCCATGGAGGGCAGCTCGCAGTGACCAGCTCTCCCCAGGGTGGCCTTCCAGGTGCCAGACCACTGTGGCAGCCAGAGTGGCAGCTGGAGCCAGGTCTCTGCCCTGCTGGCCCTTTAGACCCTTCCCAGCTCGGAAGGATACTTTTTAAAACTTGAACCACCTGGGATACAGAGTTACAGAGTTACAAAACTTTTGACAGGATTTCAATCATACAATGGTCCAACACCCATCCCTCCACCAGTGCATTCTCCCCACCCCCAAAGTCCCCAGTTTCCCTCCCCCTCCCCCCACAGCCTGTCTCTATGGCAGACTCTCTCTCTCCCACCCCCCCCCTTCTCTCCTTTTGTCCATTATGGTTGGTTTGCAATACAGATACTGAGAGGTCATCATGTTTGTCCTTTGCCTTTCAACACACATCTCCCACCCAGAGTGACTCCCTCCATCACTGTCACACTGTCACAGTGGTCCCTTCTCTATTCCAACTGCCCTTGCCCTCACCCTCAAGGCAGGCTTACGACACTTCTTTTTTTTGGGTCACACCCGGCGATGCTCAGGGGTTCCTCCTGGCTCTGCGCTCAGGAATTACTCCTGGCAGTGCTCGGGGGACCATATGGGATGCTGGGAATCAAACTCGGGTCAGCCGAGTGCAAGGCAAATGCCCTACCTGCTGTGCTATCGCTCCAGTCCCGGCTTAGGACACTTCTGAGAGCTTCAGGGAAACTGGGGAAAGCCTCGTGACTCAGACAGCCGTGCTGGGCGCATATGGACTGCTGGTTCTGGTGGTTCTGTGGGAGGGGTCCTTCTTTAGGGGACAGACACACCAATGTTGTCAGCACTACTCGGAAGATGGGAGAACCATGGGTAGATGAGTGGTGGGCAGTGAGTGCACGGATGGATGTGAATGGAAGGTCGGATTAACAGGCAGGGGGAGGGGGATCAGATGGAGGGATGGGTGGATGGGTAGCATAGTGGTTAGATGGATGGCTGGGTAGATAGATGAAAGATAATACAGGAGAAAAACATTACATATGATACAACCAAGTGAGGAAAGATGTAAACAAACGGGAAAGCCAGGTAAAGAGAATTCAAAGTTCCAAGCATTCTTCTCATTTGTCTGTAACTTGCAATGATCCCTGAGTGCAAGATCCCGTCCAGAGAACTAGCTGACCGAGGCAGGCAGCAGGCCGGGGGTGCTGAGGCCACGGTGGCAGCAGCGGACACTGGCCTGTGTGAGGTTCTGCTTGCTGGACACATGGCACCTACCGTGAACGGGACTGCACATCCCAGCGCTTCAGGCGAAGAAAATACTCAAAAGTATGAAGTTCAACAAAAGATAGGCCTAGCAACACTTAGAAGATCTTACTCGGGTCTTCAGAGCCTCTTCCGAGTGCCCGCAGGCCCGCAGCAATGTGGACACAGGAACCTGGGCTGACACGGTACCAGGAGCTTGCTCCGAAGCAAACGGAGTTCCGGCATGGGGAGGGAGGTTGGCAGGGAGGGGGTGTGCCTAGCACGCAGACCCTGGTTCAAAACCCAGCCCGGTGTCGAGCCCCCAGGAGGACAGAGCACAGAGCCAGGAGTAAGCCCTGAGCACAGCCAGAGGTGACCCAACAACCAGAACAGAAAAGGAGAAAGGTCCAAAGGGAAGAACAGTCACTTTATTGACATTGTAGAATACAACAGCACAAGTACAGATCCAAGGCCCATTAAAACATGGCCAGTTCCACAGTCTGGGCATCTCCTGTCCTGGAAAATGAGGACGTGTCCAGATTCACACCCACATACACAGTACGTCAGGCCACACACAGTAGGCTCACACCCCCCTCCCCTGCCCCATGGTGGGACACGCGTGCCCGAGACAAGCCCCCACATGGGTCACGGGCGCAGGGAGGAGGCTGCAGCCACTGCCCATGTCTACGGGGCTTTTCTTTGACCCAAATCCAAGTGCGCCACAGAGAAGCTGTGACCTCGTGACTGTGGCAGCTGTGAGAGCGCCTGGGGACGCCCCAAAGCCTAGGGTCCCACGCCCCACATGCACAGAGCCCCACGCAGAACGCCACCCTGCCGAGACTCCAGATGGAGGGGAATGACAGAGGGACTCGTCTCACAGGTGACCCCTTCCCGACTCTGAAACGAAGAAGGTTCCAGAGATCCTCCGGGACATTTACATTTTTTTTTTTTTTGGCTCCAGAGTTTTAAAAACAAGTAACATGTCTGCGGCTGAAAGCCATAAGGAGAGCTGGCCGAGCCCAGGGATCCCCCACTGCCCCACATGCAGGCTGACCCACCAGGTCGCAGCTCTCAGACATGACATCGGCCACTGCTCAGGACTCGCTGTCCACTCTCCTGGGGCCAGCGGTGTTGCACAGGGCAGGGGCGCAGGCAGGGCTGGCCTCGCAGCCCACAGTCCCTGGGCCCTTCCAATCGCGGGGGTATGAGCATCCCCCCCGGCCTCTGTGCCCCAAGCCAGCCCTGGGTAGGCCCAGTCGGCGCCCGTGGGCCAGTGCTGGTCACTCTCGGAGCAGACGGCTCAGGCCCACACCCTCCACCACAGAGAGGGCCACACAGGGCCCACGCCTCCAGCCCCAGCAGCCAGCCTGGCCGCCGGCCCACTCAACCACCACCCGCAGAGTCCGGGGGTCCCTGCGTGAAGCCCCCATGCCCGCGGCACCCCTAGGTCTTGCTTCTCCGCAGGAGCGGGGTGGGGCCATGCAACCGCACGCGTCTGCTGAGGGTCTCCGTGGCGGTGGCGTGGGGCCGGCCCCAGGAGGCCCGAGGGGGCGCCTGGAGTCCCGGCTCCTCCTTTAGGTCCAGTCCGCCGGTCGCCTGCACCAGCTCCTCCACCACCTCGGTGTGGCCAGCGGTGGCGGCCAAGTGCAGCGCCGTCTGGTTCTGCGGCCCCGGCGCCCGCGCATCCGCCCGCTCCTCCAGGAGCAGCCTGACCGTGGCCAGGTGGCCATGGCGCGCCGCCAGGTGCAGCGCAGTACAGCCCTCGGCGGTGACGGCGTCCCGGCAGGCCCCGCGGTGCAGCAGCAGCCGCGCGGTGCTGGTGTGGCCCGTCTCGGCGGCCACGTGCAGCGGCGTCTGCGCCAGCAATGTGCACACGTCCACGGCTGAGCGCAGGTCGAGGAGCAGGCGGGCCACGCGGTAGTGGCCGCGCTGCGCGGCCAGGTGCAGGGGCGTCTTCCCGTCCAGCATCTGCGCGTCCAGGCTGACCCCCGACTGCTTGGCCAGCAGCCGGACGATGGACAGGTGGCCCTGCCAGGCGGCGTAGTGCAGCGGCAGCCACGCGCCCTTGGCCGGCAGCCCCGCATCGCCCCCGCACCGCAGCAGCACCCGCACCACCGCCTCCTGGCCGTGCTGGCAGGCCACATGCAGCGGCGTGCGGCCCTCGGCGTCCGCCGCGTTCACCGCCGCGCTCCGCTCCAGCAGCAGCCGCGCGCTGCCCTCGTCCCCGTTCTGGGCGGCGAAGTGCAGGGCCGTCCAGCGGTCCTCGTCGGCCGCGTTCACGCTGACCCGGCGCGCCAGCAGCAGCTCCAGCAGGCCGCGCCCCCGCCTCTCGACGGCCGCATGCAGCGGCGTGGCGCCCCGCCCGTCAGCCAAGTCGGGGTTGGCGTGGTTGAGCAGCAGCCACTTGGCGCACTCCTCCTGGCCCGCCGCCACCGCCAGGTGCAGCAGGCTGGCGCCCCCGTCCACCACCAGGTCCACGTCCTGTGGCTGCAGCAGCTTCATCAGCCGCCCCGTGTCCCCGCTCACCACCGCCTCCACCAGCTTCTTCTTCTGCACGTCCGTCGTGCCCAGGTCTGCGGGCAGAGCAGTGAGAGAGAGTCAGACCGGCCGCCGCCACCCGCAGCCTTCCAAGCCAGGCGTCCCCAACATCACGTGGCTGGTGCCTCTCATGGGGTAGCCCCCCACGTGGCCCGTGTCCCCCACGTGGTTACGGCCTATGTGGCCAGTGTTGCCTGCGTGAGCCCCATCTCCCCAGCACATCTCCCTGTGTGGCCACCCACAGGGCAGACAACCCAGGGGCACCCGCTCAGGGTTCCAAGGTGCCCGTGGTGACACAGTGAGACACAGCCCACACAGTGCAGTCCCTGGCCGGGCACAGCTCAGCAACCTCCCGACCGCAAAGCTCAGGGGGAGACGCAGAGACCAGAGGGATCCTCTGGGGTCTGACACGGGCGTGGCTGGGTGTACAAGGCAGGAAGGGACCCTTGGCACAAAGTGGACTCGGGACCGTTCCGACACCTCAGGGTTACCCACAGGCTGCTGGGCAGCAGCAGAGGGCAGCGAGTGCGGGTCCAGGGGCAGAGTTCACCCCACTGTCCGCCCCGCCCCCCGCCCCCACCGGCCACTCACCGGTGCTTGAAGGTTCCCGCTCAAAGGACAAGGACAGAGAGCCCCGGGAGGAGAAGGCCGAGTCCACGGACGACACCCCCGACAGCCTCTTGTCGCTGCTGCCGGACGGCAGGCGGGACTCGGACGCACTGCGGCTCAGCTCCTCGGGGCCCTGCAGTGCCTGCGAGATGCCTGAGTCCAGCTGGGACAGCAGCTCCGCCAGGCTGCAGTCGTCGTCAAACGGGGGCGCAGACGCACGCTTCAGGGGCGTGGACACGGGCGCCTGCGGAGACAGAGAGCTGAGCCATGCACGTCTGCACACGGGGCACAGGGCACACACACACGCCTGTACAGGGACACTCAGACACACACATATGTCTACACATGGGGGCACAGGGCACACACAGACACGTCTGTACATAGCGCTCACAGACACACACGTCTATACACAGACACACACATACATCTATACATGGATGCACAGGGACACATGTATACATATGTAGGCAGACACACAGACACGCAGGAACACACATACAGACACATATACACAAATGCACAGACACTGAGAAACATACATAGATACACAGAGATGGAGACACATACATACATATACAGATGGACGCACACACGGAAACACATGTGTATGTGTAAGTGCGTGAGTGTGAGGCTATAGCAGAGTGTAAGAGTGCGTGTGAGAGTACCTACGAGAAGGTGAGTGTGCAAGGATGCATGTATGTGAGTGTGCCAGGGTGTGCAAATGAGTGTACGAGGATGAGAGAGCATGAGTGAGTGTGTAGGGCCAACACACGGACACATAGAGGCACCGGGAACACACACACGCTTACACCTCTCATCAGCTTACACGCTCTTGTGCACTCTTACACTTTCGCACACGTACTCACACTCACACATACTCTTCCTCTCTCGTGCACACATTCCTCCACTCACACTCGCATTCCTCCACTCATACACTTGCTCACACACTTGCACGCACACGAGCACTGACACTGGGGTGGGGGCTGGGACGCAGCAGGAGGCGGCGCAGCCCCAGGGCTGAACCCCGGCAGACATGACGGGGGTCTGGCGGCAGAGATGCGGGCAGGAAGATGCCGGGCGCCACGTGCCAGCAGCTCTGGGCTCCCCGCTGAGCAGTGGGGTGCGGGAGCAGCCGGGGACTGAAATCGCCCCTCCCGGGTTGAGCATGGGGTCTCTGGCCCCAGCCTGCCACACACCTGGGGTGCAGAGTCACACCTGGCCGGGCGGGGCTGCGTCTGCTATCACCTGCCTGGCACCTTTGCCCCCGCCTGGCACACATGCCCATATATGGGCAGACACAGCCCCATGAACCTTCCGCCTCACCCCACCCGGGTGCAGGTCGCACCTAGGTGCACGTGAGCACTGGGCACAGGGAGACTGCAGGGGGGCGGGGCAGGGGGCTGGGCGACAGGTCCCTGCCGCTCCCTCCCTGAAGAGCCCAACGGGGTCTGGCACTGGCTTCCAAGAGTACCAGGCCGTGAGCCCCTGGCCAGCCAACCCGGCCAACCCTCAACCTCACCTCGGTCCTGGGCTCGGGGTCCGGGGTCGTCTCGGGCACCTCCTCATCCGGCTTCTCACACAGGCCCTCGGTCTCGGATGTGATCTCTGGGGAACGACACCTGGGTCAGGGGAGCAGGACCCCAAGTCCCCCGACCCCCGGCCCCTGTGCCTGCCCTGGGGCTCACCATGGAAGGAGGGGCGCTCCTGGGGGTCCCCATGCCAGCAGCGCTGCATCAGGCGCAGGAGACTGCCACAGGCGCGGGGCCTGGCACGACACACAGGCGGCAGCTCCGGCCGGTGGCCCTTCACAACCTTCACCATGATGTGCAGGATGTTCTTCTCATCTGCAGGCAGCAGGGAGGAGAGTCAGGGGCCCTGGCAGGGCCACATGGACACCCGGCTAGGGAGGGCGAACCAAGGGCAGGGGACATGGATGGCCCCGTGTCCCCCACCACATGCTGGGTGGTTCCTGGGGTTGGACAGCCAGCTCAGCAGGGAAGGAGATATACTGCCAGGTTCGAAAGAGGGCACCAGGCCCGGGCACCCCGCTCTGCCCTCTGCGGAGGCCCTCAGCACCCACTACTCTCCCCAGCCCCAGGCTGGCCGGCCGGTGAGACTCGGACTACAGTGCTCACCCATGGAACGGCTGCTCCTGCCCCGCACACAGCAGCCCAGGAAGAGGGACCCCCTCTCCACACACACGCATGCCCCATAGTTCAAAGAAGGAAAACCTCCACTGGCCACAGGAAGCCGAGGCAACGGGGGACAGAGGCCAGGGCACCACATGGCCTGTGTAGCAGGATCTGGAAGTGTCAGAACACACCACAGGGGGTGCAGGGGGCGAGGAAAGGGAGGGAGGGAGGGAGGGAGGAAGGGAGGTAGGTAGGGAGGGAGAAGAGAGAGGAAGGGAGGGAGGGAGAAGAGAGGAGTGAGGAGAGAAGGAGGAGGGAGGGAGGGAGAGAGGGAGGGAGAAGAGAGAGGAAGAGGAGAGAGGGAGAGAGGGAGAGAGGGAGGGAGGGAGGAAAGGAGAGGGAGAGGGATAGAGGAGAGAGAGAGAGAAAGGAGAGAGGGAGAGCGAGCACGGGAATTGAGGTGCAGGCCTGTGCGCAGCTGGAGCTTGGCCCCGCCTCCCCCCAGTACTCTGAAGCCCCCAGGCGTGATGCCAAGGACGACCCAGGAGAAAGCCCCCAGCACCTGTGGAAGCAAACTGGAGTGCTCCAGAATGGGCAAAGCCCCGAGAGAAACATTAGCACCCACGGGGAAGGAAAGTTGGAAGGGAGGTCGAGGGCACGGGTGTGCCTGCGGGATGATGGAACGTTCCAGAACCACACAACGGAGACGTGCGTGGGGCGCCGTGAAAGTGCTCAGCTCGGAGGTGGAGCCTGTGGTCTGAGCCCGACACAGCCGGCCCAGCCCGCTCGGCCCTGCCAGCGGGCACCGCGGAGAGCGGCACGAGAGCAGCCCGTGATGCGCACACCGGGGCCCCCCAACACGGTGCCCGAGTCTCCCGATTCTGCCCTGCCCACCCAGACACTCACCCGCAAACGGCTTCTTCTGCGTCAGGATGCCCCAGATGACGATGGCGAAGCTGAGGGGGGAAATCACAGGTGAGTGTTGGCGGGGGAGGGGGGTATGTCACAGGTATTGGTGTGAGGGTCACAGGTCTGCGGTGGCGGGGGACAGGGGGAGGGAGAGGTGTTGACAGGCGGGGGTCACAGGTAAGCGTTGTTGGGTGGGGGGGTCACAGGTGAGCATTGATGGGTGGGGGGGGGGTCACAGGTGAGCACCGGCAGGTGGGCAGGTGGGGCTCACTGGTGAGCAGTGATGGGGGTAGAGGAGGAGGGAGAGGTGTTGGCGGGTGGGGTCACAGGTGAGTGTTGATGGGTGGGGGGTCACAGGTGAGCATTGGCAGGCGGGGGTAACAGGTGAGTGTTGGCGGGTGGGAGGCAGAGTTGCTGGTGGGTGGGGGTCAAAGGTATTAGCGGGAGGGGGTCACAGGTGAGCGTTGGCGGGCAGGGGTCACAGGTGAGTCCTGGCAGGTGAGAATCACAAGTGAGCACAGGCAGGTGGTGGGCAGTTGTATGTGTGTTGGTGGGTGGTCATGTGTGTGCTGGTTGGTGGTGGGTGCTGCATGCATGTGCTTACTGGTGCAGGGAGAGCACCACGTATGTGCTGCACAGGCCATGGACCCCGAGCCCTCATGAGGAGCCACACGGGCTCCAGGGGGGGGGCGGGAACGAGGATGTGTTTCCTGTGGAGGCAGTCCCAGGACGCCCAGCTGAGGGTCCAGCACCAGGAGGGCCCGGGTCTGCGGCTTGCCCCACCACCCCCCCATGCTGCCCCCAGAGGGTGGGGATCCCTGGGTCAGAGCTGGCAGAAGGGTGGGGCTCAGGGAAAGCCCCGAGGTGGGGGAGCCTGGCAGGTGGGGGCACAGCAGGGCTGCAGGTGCAAAACAAGCACGGGGAGCCCCACCCTCTCCTCAAACCCAGCCGGGCCAACGCCGCCCAGGGCCGGGCCCAGCTCTGGTTATCTGGCTGCGGGGACGCCAGGCAAGGGAGTGTGCCAGGACTCGGGCTCAAGTGCTCCCAAGGCACCTTCCCTCCCTCCCTCCCTCCCTCCTCCAGGAATGAGCTGCAGGGCGGGGCAGGAGGCGGCGCCCACCTGTACACATCGTGCTTGGTGTCGAAGAGCCGGCTCTTCTCCCGGATGCGCTCGGGCGGCAGGTAGGCCACGGTCCCGAACAGCCCGTCCATGCTGAGCTCGTGCGAGTGGGACAGCCCATTGCACTTGGCCAGCCCGAAGTCGGAAATCTGTGCAGGCAGAGAGGCGGAGACGCCACCATCAGCGCATCCCCAGGGAGGAGGCCGCGGCAGCCAGGCCCACCCGGGGCCCCCTCGGGAGAAGCACCCGGAGAACGGGAAAGGCGAGGCCGTGGGGAGGCAGACAAGCCAGTCGGGCCGCCCGCCCCGCCAGCTGGGCAGCAGCAAGTGGCGGCACGTTGGGCGGACACGCCTCCCCGCTAAAGCCAACAAAACAGGCAGCCGGCAGCTGTCCTCCACCCGATGCTCCCACCCGGGACCCCACCCTGAACCCCCAACGCGCGTCCAGCTCCAGCCCCCAAGCCCAGGGACAGGAGAAGTTGGCAGGGACAGCGATGGCGGCGGGTGGGGCAGCCTTCTCTCTGGGCCCCACTCCCGAGCAGACCGAGCCATGGAGCACCCGGGGGGTCCTCTGCAGAGGGGAGCCACTGGCACCCAGACCCCCATCTCCTCGGAGGCGCACAGGCCGTGCTGAGCCCCTTGTGCCCCACAAGGTGCCTGCAGGGATTGAGGGCCAGCGGTTGCTGCAGGGGCACCCACACAGGGGCTGATGGTGGGGGTCTTTGGGCCTGGGTGCTGCCCTCCAGAAGGCCGGGCAGGGACTCACCAGCCACGGCTCTACAGCGTGACTGGGTGAGCCGGCGGCAGAGAACATGGCAGCGGGCGTGAGGGACTGTGGCCACGTACCCCTCGCTGTGGCCGACCCTCTACTCCCACCCCTGCCACAGATGGAGTTGGGGGCAGGACAAGGAGCAGACGCCAAGACAAGGCAATGGCATCCGTGTGCGAGCTTGGAACGCCCAGTCCCTGGGACCCCAACTGGCGCCCACCCTCCCCTCCCCAGTCCTCACAGCGGCACCCCAGCACCCACTGCTAGCACCCCACAGCCCATTGGCATCCCCACTTCCGGTCCAGCTGGATGAGAGCAAGTGGGGGCCAGTACCAGACCCCGGAGGCTGACGCTCGGGGTCCCAGGGGCAGCCGGAGGCCTGAGGTTGGGTGGGCGCTGCTCGGCCGGAACTGGGCTTGCCGGGCTAGGGAGCCGGTACCATGGGGAACAGCCCTGTGGGCAGCCACCCAGGGGTCACTCAGAGACGATTCTGAGCACAGAGCCAGGAGTCAGCCCTGAGCAGAGCCAGGAGTGACCCTGAGCACATAGCCGGAAGTGAGCCCTGAGCACAGTGCCAGGAGTGAGTCCTGAGCACAGAGCCAGGAGTGAGCCTTGAGCACCACTGGGTATGGTCCTTAAAACCCCAATAAAAAATCAAACTCATGGGGCTGGAGCGATAGCACAGCGGGGAGGGCGTTTGCCTTGCATGCGGCCAACCCAGGTTCAATTCCCAGCATCCCATATGGTCCTCTGAGCACTGCCAGGAGTAACTCCTGAGTGAAGAGCCAGGAGTAAGCCCTGTGCATCGCTGGGTGTGACCCCCCCCCAAAAAAAAATCAAACTCGTGTGTCGGAGTCTGGGGCTGAGCAGCAGGGCACCTGCCTGGCAGAGCTGGCACCAGCTCAACCCGCCGCTCTGCAGAACAACAAAAACTGAATAAAGTCAGTGAGTGTCCACTGCTTGAGAATGTCCTCCAGGCCCATCTGGGGTAGAGGGAGGCCCCGTGTGCGGACCCTGAGCTGCTTTCCTGCCCGACCCGTCACATGCATCACCAGCCCCGACAGACCCCGCATCCTCACCGGCACTGCCCATGGTCAGTCTGTCTGGCCGCCCACTGCGTTGTGTGGGTGACTGACCAGAGACATGGGCAGAGCCAGGAAAGGGGCTACCCCGAGCCCCTGACAGGCACCGGGCCCCTGCCTGGGGCTCCCTCCTTCCATCATGGGACAGGAGCCCAGAATGGCCACCAGGCCTGGCCTGCGGGTCCACTGGGCAGCAGAGAGCAACCGTAAGTGAACAGGAGAGCTGATGGAAGCCTAGCAGCCTGGAAGGGACCCTCTAGGGGAGAGTGGCCAGCCCACATGACACCACGGCGCCAACACCCAGGCCGCAGGGGCAGCACCGGGGCCCTCAGGAAGGGCAGTGTGTGAGCATGAGAGTGTGTGTGACTGTGTGACTGAGAGTGTGAGTGTGTGAAAGTGTGTGTGAGAGTGAGAGTGTGTGGGTGTGTGAAAGTGTGTGTGAGAGTGAAAGTGTGTGAGTGTGTGAGAATGAGTGTGTGAGTGTGAGAATGAGAGTGAGTGAGAACGTGTGAGTGTGCGTGAGTTTGAGAATGAGAGTGTGTGAGTGTGCGTGAAAGAGAGAAGTGTGTGTGTGTATGTGTAAGCCTATGAGCATGAGTGTGAGTGAATGTGTGCATGCAAGCATGAATGTGTATAAGCCTGTGTGTGAGCGTGCATGTGTGAGTGTGAATGTGTGTGTGTGTGTGTGCACATGCGCGCTGATCTGGCAGCCACACCAGAGTGTGCAGGCTCACTCCTGGCCCGGTGCTCAGTGGTCACTCGTGGAGGCCCCTGGGGGATCAGGTGTCTGCAGCACCTCCAGGCTCCCACTAGCCTCCCTGAAGATTCCAGAACAGCACCTGAGTGGTAGAATGGCGGGTAGGGCACCTGCCTGGCACGCAGCCGAGCAAGGTTCCATCCGGGCATCCCACATGGTGCCCCGAGCACTGCCAGGGTGACTTGGGAGGGCAAAGCCGGGGTAAGCCTGGGCACCACCGGGAGTGACTCAGAAACAAACAGACACAAATGAGATTCCAGAATGCTCCTCCACCTTCGTGCTTTTCCGCACCCAGGGACCCCTAGAGTCCCACCACCCGCCCCCCCCCCCCGCCGTGTCCTCCAGGGCGGGGGCCGCCCGAGGCCGTCATTAGCCCCTCTCTGCCCTTTCCCTGCATGGAGCTGCAGGTGGGAGATCAAAGGCTCCCACCCCTCCTTCACCCCGACCCCGGCTCCGTGCATGGAGACACCCGCTCCCAGGTCACCTGCAATTATCCTTCAAAGTGAAATGCTCCTCTCCCGCGAGCAGCCTTGGGCACCGCGCCCGCTGCCAGGAGGGGGCTGCAGCAGGTCACCCCTCCTTTGACGGAGAGAGAGCCATGCACAGGTGTACCGGAGACAGCGCCTGAATCAGCGCCTTCCTCATATTCCGGCAGGGGGGCCTGCAGCAGGGGGCATGGCTGACCCCCCTCGCCGAGGCTGACCCACCCAGGGCCAGGGGGCCTGCAGCAGGGGCCACGGCTGACCCTGCTCACCCCACTGATCCACCTGGGCTCAGGTCTGCTGAGTCAGAGAGAGGCTGGGCTCTCAGGGCTGGCACAGCGGGACAGGCGCTGGCCTTGCTCATGGCCAAAGTTGGTCTGAGAGCCCGAGCACCGCAGGGAGTGCTCCCGTGGGCGCCAGCAGCTGGTGGAGGGCAGATGTGGCCTGCACCACGGCCCCCATCCCGCGGTCAGACTCCCTGAGTGCGTGCATCACCCCACGAGGAAACCCAGGACAACCCACCCCCACCCCAACAGGAACGGAAGGCTGGACACGGAGGCCATCCAAGAGAGACAGGGACTCTGTGGCCAACTCGGGCTGTCTGCGTCTGTGCCCCACTCCAGCCTGTCCCAGAAACCCACTCCGCACAGAGCGAGAGCCAAGCCCCTGCTGAGGACCCCTCCCACACCCCCTCCACGCAGCTCCGACCCCCAGTGCTCCCCCTCAACCCCCAGACCAGCGCAGCACAAACCAGCGCAGCACAGGCAGCCCACCTTGACGTGGTAGTGGGCATCCAGCAGGATGTTGGCAGGCTTGAGGTCCAGGTGCAGCAGCGGCGGGGACAGGCAGTGCAGGAAGTTCATGCCCACGGCCGTCTCGTGCACAATGCGGAAGCGCAGTGCCCAGGGCAGCGGCTGTGCGGCCAGCAGCTTCTCCAGCGAACCCGTCTCCATGTACTCCATGACCAGTCCCACGGGCTCACGGCAGATGCCGTACACCGGCAGGATGTAGCGGAACTTGGCCAGCTCCATCTTCTTGGCCTCCTCCAGGAGTTCCAGGCGCTCCCTGCGGAGGGCCAAGGTGTGAGGGGAGCACCGACCCCGACCAGCCGCCCACCCTACCCCCGTCCTTCCAGAGCCTTCAGACACAGCTGCGTGGGGGGCTGGTGAGGGAGAGGGGGCCCGTGGGTGCCTTTGGGGTGGGGTCTCCCACAATCTCTTCCCTGGGGGACCCAAGAGACAGCCATGAGGGATGACCGGGTTCCAGTTCAGGCCCCCGGGCAGGGTCACGGCCACTGGCCCCCACTCCAGATCTCCGCCCCGTCCTTAAACCCAGGCAGGCCCATGCATGTGACCTCGCTGTCACCCACACCACCATCCACTCCCCGGTGGGCCCCAGCCCCCGAAAAGCACCCAGTACGAGGACGCCAGCGTCCCCAGGTCCCTCCTTCCACAGCTGCGACACATCGTCCTGTTCTGCCCCGCATCACAGTGGCCACCCACCATGGCCAGAGAGGTGTGAGCGGGCCTGTGAGGGGTGTATGCTGAGGGACGTGTGCGTGTGCATGTGGGAGATATGTACGTGTGTGTGCATGTGGTGGTGTGAGTGCGTGTGTATGTGCATGCGTGTGCGCACGTGGGGGATATATATGTATATGTGTGCATGCATGTGTGGGCATATGCATGTGTGTGTGCATTTGAGTGGGGGGGTGAAAGCATGTGTGTGCATGTACATTTGTATGCACGTGTGTGTGCATGCGCATGTGTGCGTGTGCATCCCATCCCACTGTGCACGAGGAAGACAGGTCTCCGTGGACACCCCCCCAGCACAGGTCTCTGTGTCCCCATGCCGAAGCTAAGTCTTAGCCAGGGCCACGGACCCCCAGGGCTAGACACACACCTGCCTTGAAGCCCCCTCCTCGCCTGCGGGCTCGCTAGCTCTGGGGGAATGACTCCGGGCGTCCACAGGGTTCTGGCACAGCATCCAAGGACACAGCCAAGGTCACACCTTGCCCAAGGTTACGTGAACAAAGAAATTCCATCATGCCCCACCCCGCCAGTGGGGTCCAGGCTCCAGCAGCGCTGGGATTCTGCTTCTAATAAGGAAACTTCCAGAGCCACATGCCCAGACACGACCCGTTAGGTTTGGGAACCGGCAGCCTGCTGGAGTGGCTCAGCAACGCCCCCTGCCCCCCACATGGGGGATGCACACCTGTGGTGGGGGCCCCAGATCTGAGAGGTACCTGCCCCCCACTTGCCCCCCTCCCAGCCAGCGGCAAGACCAGCGCCCGACAGACCAGCATGACACCTGTCACTGAGAGTGACAGTCCTGGGGGGAGGCAGGTCTAGAGGAGGTCCCCGGGCCCAGCCCCCACCCGGGTCTCTCAACCTGCCTGTGGGGATCCAGTGACTCCTCAGGGGGCTGCTGTCGAGGGGGGGGGGTAGGATCCAGAGGGAGACTTGGGAGGCCTCATTATGCCCCGATACAGCAGGGAGGACACTTGCCTTGCTCATGGCCAACCTGGGCTCCGGCCCCGGCCCCCAAGAAGGTCCCCCCAAAGCACCTCAAAGAGTGATTCCTTAGTACTGCAGGAGAAGCCCCCACAAAATACACACAGTTCCCTGAGGAGACACAGAATTACCCCCCACTGTGTCCCAGGGTCTATGACCTGGAGAGCCCTTCAACAAACTGATAAGGTGCAAAGAATCATACCAACGCACTGATAAGGTGCAGGGAGCCCCCCAACGCACTGATACGGCACAGCGGCACGTACCCACTGGGGACCGTCACGGCTGACAGCTTCCCTCCCTACACGCAACTCACTGCTGTGCTGGGGGAGACGAGTAGAAGGGCCCCTCCTCTGCCTGCAGTGCCGTCGGGGGGGGGGGGGGGGGACAAACCAGATGAAACAAACAGAAAAATGCCCCCTCCAGCCCCTAGACCCGCACAGCAGGCCCAGTCCTGACTAACCTGCGCAGGGCAGAGCTGAGCACCTGTGGGCTGGGCCACCCCTGCCCCACACAGAAAGTGGGGGACGGTGTGGGGGTCCCGTGCAAGCCCCCTGAAGGGGGAGCTGGGGACTCAGGCGCATTTCTCAGTCAGCCCTCCCCCACCCCAGGGAACTGGCCCGTGAGGAGGGAAAAGGCCCCCAAGGCCACCTGCCCCTCCCCCGGAAGATCCTGAACCCTGATCACCCCACCCAGCCAGGCCTGCACCCCCAACCTGCAGAAAGGAGCCCACACCCACCCCTCACCACCAACCCAGGAAGAGCTGGTTTCCTAGTAATGGGTTTAAGCCACCCTCTCTGAGCGCCCTGCTGGCCCCAGAAAGACCCAGTCAAGGCTCATCTTCCCCCTGAGGAAGCAGCTGGGGGTGCTGGGCACGGGCCAGGAAGGCCCTGCTGGGGTTCCCAGAGAGGAGCATCCAGCCACTCTGCCCAGGGCCAAGGGTCCAGGAGGCCCCTGGGGGCTCATGTGTCTGTTGGATCTGCAGGTTCAGTCCTGATGGTTTTCCTGGAGTGAGTGAGATGGTCCCAACCCCCAGGTGCTGGGGGCCCCCCTAAGCAACCTCAGCAGCTGGGGGCCAGTGCTGGCGTGGAGAAAGGTGCCTCCTCAGGGCTAGTTCACTCCAGCCCGGAAAGAGCTGCGATCTGTCCCCAGGGTCCCTCCAGCCGGCAGGAGCAGCGCCCAGCAGCCCTCCCGGGGATGAAGTCCAGCACCGCGGGACCCCTGGCACCAGTAACCAGCACAACGGAGCTCGCTCTGCTGCGCCCGTCCCCAAAGCACAGCCCGCCTCGACTCCGGAACAAGAAGGGCCCCAGCACAGCCAGCCCTGCCTGGGCAAAAATCCCAGCTGGCAGGGGTTAATTTGTTTACTTTAATTTTTACTTTTGCTTTGGGGTGGGGGGGTGGTGTCATTGGGCTGTGCTCAGGGCTCACTCCTGGCTCTGTACTCAGGGATGACTCCCAAGGGGGCTGCGGGGGACAGAACCGGGAGGGCCGTGCGCAAGGCCGGCACCTCCCGGCCGAGGCATCTCTGAGGCATCTCTCGGGCCCCGGCAGGCTTGGGCCGCCTGGGAAGCACCTGGGAACGGTGGCAGCGGAAGCGGCTTTAATCACCCGGGCTCGCTCTGTGCGCCTCCAGTTACGTTCCCAGGCTCAGCGAGGGGTTCCCACACTGCTATTTTTAAAACTGACAAGAATTGGGCTTGTCCGACTGCAGGCTCTGCAGCGACAGCCCAAGGATGTGCCGGGGCTCGCCTGCAGCTGGGCCCGCGCCCGCCGCTGTTTCAGAGCTCCCTCTGCACCCAGGTGGGGGACAGGCCCTGTGGCACGCCGTCTGCCCTGAGGAGAAACAGTGCCCACCACTGGACTCCACTGGCCACACATCCTCCCAAGATGGGCATCCAGACGCGCCCCCCCCCACCGTGGCTGATGAGAGCACCTGTGCCTTGTAAGCACCCTGGCAGACACCTCTCTGCCCCCAACCAATCCCTAATGTCTATCTGAAACCAGACACCCCATCCTCTCCCCAAAACACAGTGCGGTTCCAGGGCAGCCTGTTATGTACAGAGGTGGTACAGAGGAGGGGCCGGGAGGCCCCCATTGGCCCCCTGCAGCCTGGCACGGGCCCAACTGAAGGACCCCAGGCCATTCCCACGGGGAGGTGTAGGGAGGGGCTGGGGCTGCACGGGAGCCCAGAACTTGATCCCTCCCATCCCTCACTGCCAGCAGCAGGGAGGTGGGGTGAGGCCAGGGTCCACCACCAGAGCCGGCCACTCACCCAGCGCTCCCAGCCGGCTCATGGGACCAAGCACAGCCTGCAGCCCTCTGGGAGCTCTTGGGTTGGTCACGGGGGCTGATGTTTCCTGCGGGACCTGAGCTGGGCCCACAGTTCACATCTCCATCCGCCTGTTCTGGGTGGGCACCACTGGGGGCCTCCTGAGCACCCCCCTCCCTGATCCCCAGGGCACAAAGACGCCTTCCTCGGCAGCCCACCCAGACCCCGGGCACCACAGGCTGGAAATAACAGATTCCCGCAGTGAGTCAGATGCGTGCTGACTGGGACCGCCCCAAAGGAGAAGCGGAAGCGCAAACCTTCCCCAGCAACAAACCCACTCGAGGGCCGAGGCCCAGCACAGGGGCTCACTTTCAGGACAGCCCTGGCCCCGCTCCCAGGAGCTTGGATTTCAGCAAAACAAGCACAGCGCCCCTCCCGGCAGCGGAGAAGCTTCAGGGGGGCCGGTAGCCTGGGACCTGGGGAAGGTGGGGGCTGTGGGGCTCCATGATGGGCCCGTGGAACCCGAGTCTCAGAGAAGCACAGCTGACTTCAGGCTTACAACCAAGAGCCACCGGGAGCCGTGCTGGGTCACGGAGGGGCCCTGTACCCGTCGCCTGTTTTCTGCTGCATGCCCGGGCGGCATGCGGCACAGGCCAGGCTGTGTGTAGGGGGAGACGGAAACGCAGGGAGGGGGCCACTCCGCCCTCTGGGGCCCCCTCCCCTCACTAGGCAGGGTCAGTAAAGACCATCTTCTTGTTTTCTTTCCGGTTGTTTGGGCTATGCCCGGGGTGCTCAGGGATCACTCCTGGTGGGGTCTCGGGGGACCCTATGCGGTGCTGCCGGTACAAGGGGAGTGCCCTCACTTCTGTGCTATGTCCCCAGGCCCTCAGGATGACGCTTTTCAGAGCAGGTGCTTACTGCAACCCCCTGCCTGCAACAACCCACACGACACAGGTTCCTTGAGCACGTTCCTACCACTGCCCCAATCCCCACAACAGAATTACACACCACCGCCCACACCCACCCGGGCTGCTGTAAACCTTCCAACCTCTCAGCCAGTGCCCACCGCCCCTGGGGTGGACACCGGGCAGCCCCAGGCCCGCTCTGAGAAGGAGGGCCAGCGGTACTGCCGCCGCAAAGCGGGTTAAGGCAAGGCTCCTCCCTCGAGGCCGGGCCTAAAAACAAGGCAGCCGGGACCCAGCCCCGGGACACCCCGGGCGTAATGAGACCCCCAAGCCGGCCCGGCCAGGTTCAGCGGCACCCGGAATGCCTCCCTGGGCCAAGCCGGTGGTGCTTCCGACCCAAATAACTACCGTCTCACACCAATTTGTGCTCCAGCCTAAATTACTAAGTAGCTCGGGCGCAATCTAAACTCACCGACAAAGCCCACATCCCCAACACAGCAATTTCTCTAAGCCGGGCGCAGACCGCAGCAGCGCGAGCGCAGGGCCCGGCCGGGCCGGACGCGCCTTCGGGGGACGCGCGATCGTGGGCACCTGGCCGCCCCGCCCCCCCCCACCTCCGGAACCAGGCTGCACCTCGAGGCCCTTTCCCACGCCCCGGGCCCACGTGGATGCCCCCGGCCGCCCTCCCGAGGTTCAGGAGCCCCCGCGTGCGCCCGGAGCTCGCCAAGCCAGCCCCCGCGTCCCTCGAGCCGGCCGGCCGCGCGGACACGGCCCAGGGCTCGCGCCCCGCCCCGCGCCCGGGCCTTCCTCGGGGCGCACCCGGAGCCCGCACGGACAGGGGTGCGGCCGGCGTCCGAGTGCCCCGGGCCCGACCCGCGTCGCGCGGGGCTCCCGCGTCCCCGGCCACCGACCTGTCGTCGACGTGCAGACTCGGCGAGCACTTGATGGCGAGCCAGGTCTTCCAGTGGACGTGGCGCACCTTGTACACCTGCCCGAAGCCGCCCGAGCCCACCTTCTCCCAGCCAGCGAACTCGCCCGCGTCGAAGGTGCGCAGCAGCCCCAGGGCCCACGGGCTCCCGTCGCCCTCCATGGCGCACCTCTGCCGCCGCCGCCGCCCGCCCAGGTGCCCAGGTGCGCGCCCCGCCCGCCGACGCCACTTCCGCCGCGCGCCCCGCCCCGCCCGGCCCGGCCCGGCCCGGCCCGGCTGTCTGCAGGTGGGGGTGGGGGGGGAAGGAGAAGCCGCGGGGAGTGGGCGCCGACGTGCTCCCACCTACTCCACACACCCCCCTCCGCTCCCCTTGGGCCAGAGCGTGGACTTAGCGCTGCTGGCACCGGGCCAGAACCGGCAGGGCCGGCCCGCCGCTCGCGGCACTCTCTCCCTCCCTCCCTCCCTGCCTGCCTGCCTTCCTTCCTTTCTTCCTTCCTTCCTTCCTTCCTTCCTTCCTTCCTTCCTCCTTCCTTTCTTCCTTCCTTCCTTCCTTCTTCCCTTCCTTCCCCTTCCTCCCTCCTTCTTCCTCCCTCCCATTCTCCCTTCCTTTCTCCCTCCCTCTCTTCCTTCCTTTCTTCCTCCCTCCCTTCCTTCCTTCTTCCTTTCTTCCTTCCTTCCTTCTTTCCTTCCTTCCCCTACCTCCCTCCCATTCTCCCTTCCTTTCTCCCTCCCTCCCTCTCTTCCTTTCTTCCTCCCTCTCTTCCTTCCTTCCTTCCTTCCTTCCTTCCTCCCTTCTCCCATTTCTTCCCCCCTCCTTTTCCCTTTCCTTTCTGGATTTTGGGTCACACCCAGCGGTGCTCAGGACTGGCTCAGCGCTGGGGAAAGAGGGATCTATCCAAGCGCCCCCCACGCCCGGCCTCTCCTTCCCAGCCCCTCGGTGTCCGCACCGGGAGTGGCGCAGGATATGACCTTTGGGAACTCTCTCCTTTTCCCACCTTGCCCCACCGCCTGAGATTCCTTTCTCTGGCTTCTTCGCACACAAGTTCCCCCTTTGGAATTCGCTTGTTTTCATTCAATGACCCGCGGGGCTGATCTAAAGCCTAGTGGAGCCGGCAGGAGCCCCGGGCTTTTTATCTCTTTACACTTTTCTGCGAAAAGGAGCGCTGGGTCTCCACCTGGGGGAAATTCCCAGCAGGTGAGCTCCGATCCCAGAGCGACATCTGGGTCAGAGGTCCCCGCTCCCAGGACCGCTGGCTGGAAGGCGCTCACGGGCGCGCAGGGACGCGCGCCGGGAGCGGAGTCTTGGTCGGGGCCGCGCTTGGGGCCGTCCGGGAAGGGAGAGGGGGTCCCCGGCGCTTCTCGGGGCTTCTCCTGGGCCTCCCCGCCTCGCGCTCTGTAAACAGCCCGCTGCCCCTCCCGGCCGCCGCTCGGCCCGCGCCTGTGCGGGCTTGCTGCAGGCTGGGAGCCGCCGCCGCGTGGCACCCACGGGAGGGAAGGACTCGACGGTGAGCGCTCCCAGGCAGCATTTGGGGGACGCACGGGCGCCGAGCCCGGGGCTCAGCCCAGCACTTCGGTCGTAGAGGCCCGTCAACTCGAGGCTCACCTCCCCAAGTGCTCCATCAGCGATGAGTCACGGGCCACCAATCACGCAATAAAACATGCCAATTTTATTCATTTCATCATCTGCTCGCTGCGCTGGGCAAATATTTATGCGGTGTCTGCGGCTGTCTCTGCGCCCGGCTGGAGCCGATGGAGTTGGCGGGGGAGGGGACCAGAGCGAGCTGGGGGAGCAGCCCCCCCCCCCCCCAGGGTGCACAGGAGAAAGCCCACCCTGCCCAGGCTACAGGAAAGAAACCGAGAGGGAGTTCAAGGTTACTCGGGACTTACCCTTTGTTATTTTTTGGTTTTTCTTTTTTGTTTTTTAGGCCACACCAGGTCATATTTGGGGTTTTCTCCCAGCTCTGCACTAAAGAATTACTCCTGGTGGTGCTCAGAAGACCATATGGGGTGCCAGGGATCAATCCCAGGTCTGCCACGTGCTGGGCAAGCATCCTAGCCTCTGTACTATCACTCCAGCCCTCCGTCTCTGTTTCTGTTTTGTTCCGTTTTGGTTTTACGGGTCATGCCAAGCAGTGCTCAGGGGTCACTCTTGGCTGTGTGCTCAGGAATCACTCCTGGTGGGCTCAGGGAGTCATAGGGGATGCCTGGGATTGAACCCGGGGTGGTTATGTGTGAGACAAACAGCTTATCTGCTGTGCTACCTCTCCGGCTTTTCATTTTGCTTTGTTTTTAACAATTATTTATTCTTCTTTATAGAAGAAAGGGATGAACTCTTATGGGGGGGTGGGTTCTTACTATGTTTTTTTTTTTTTAAGTCAGAAAGGTGGGGCTGGAGCAATAGCACAGCGGGTAGGGCGTTTGCACGCGGCTGAACCGGGTTTGATTCCCAGCATCCCATAGGGTCCCCTGAGCACCGCCAGGGTGATTCCTGAGTTCAGAGCCAAGAGTAACCGCTGTGCATCGCCAGCTGTGACCCAAAATAAATAAATAAATAAATAAGTCAGAAAGGTGCGGGAGAGACAGTACCACGGGTAAGGTGCTGCTGCTGCCTTCCATGCCGCTGGCCCTGGCTCCCATCCCCAGCACTGGCCTCTCCACCCCCCACAGCCCACCAGGAGTGACCCGAGCACTGAGTCAGGAGGAAGCCCTGAGACCCCTGGTGCACCCCAACCCCCCACCCCCAGCAGCCGGGATGTATCCCACAAGCCCCCAGCTTGGGAGCTGCCCGACCCTCCACCAAGCCCACATGTGCCAGCCTGGAGAGGGGGGTCTCCTGAGGCTCCTTGTTGCTCTGCTTGAGCCTTTCATGGTCACGTTCCTGCCCCTTCTGCCCTGTCCCTCTCCGCAGCCCACTGCATCCCCTCACCCAGCTGCTGCCTGCACCCCCGGGGTCCCCCCCCAGGACAGCCCCACCCTGGGGAGCTCCCCATAGCCCTCAGAGCAGGTGCTGGTCAAGGAGTCCTGGAAGCCCCCAGGCTGCAGGGGTGAGGGGGCCTGAGATGTCCTTGTGGACCAGGACCCCTCACAGGGCTGGGGGGAGAGGGGGTGGGCATCAGGATTGTCATGTGACTCAGAAGCCAGACAGCTGAGGAGGCCAAGGCCCCTCTGCCCCTTCTGGAGAAGCCAGGCCCCAGCCCCCACTCCCCACTGGCTCTCATGGACACTGGACTTCGTGGTCATGGGTCATTCCCCACTGGGTCATGCTGTCCCCTCCAGCCTGGCCAGTGCCCCCCCCAATCTCTCTCTGTCACCTCATCCTCACCTACAAACCCTCGGTGACCGCCCCCACCCCTACCTCCTGGGTCCCAGTGCCGGTGTGACTCGCATCAGCCCCACGCCAGCCCCACGCGGGAGCCAGGCCGGGCAGATTCCTGCGCTGCAAACTCACGGGCACGGGGCTGGGTCATCGCGTGTTTATGGGGGGGCCGGCTGGTGAGTGTGCTCCCCCACGCACCCCAAGGTCCGGCCCAGCGCTGGCCTTGACTTCCCACAGCCTAGCCATAAGCAGGGGCACTCATCTTCCCAGGGCACTTGGGCCCTGACCCAGAGTGGCCCTCACCTACTCCTGACTGCTCAATAACGCCTCCTCCTGGACGTCTTCCCAGATGCGGGTAATGCTGGCTGGCTTCAAGTTCTCGCCCTTCTCCGGGAGGCCACGCCCCTCCGGGAGGTCACACCCACACCGGAAGTCACACACGTGCTGGGGCAGGTTCCGTGTTTCCACCCAGCAGGTGACCGCTGCATCTGGCCTGGCTGGTCCTGCCAGGCTTCCCCTCCCCGGGCCCTGCTGGGTACCGGTGCGTGTCAGTGAGCCCTTCTGGGCTTCTGGCCCCTGCACACTGCCCCCTCCCAGGTCCATCACGTAGACTGTTCGCCTCCATCAGTGCCAAAGTTTCCTGGGCTAACAGGCTGGCAGCTCCCCAGCAAGCCCAGCACTCGCCCCGCATGGCAGTGTCGCTCTTGGGGAGGGACCCAAAAGAAAGAGGGGAGTCCCGGCAACCACTGGCACAGGAACATAAGCCTCCCAGAGAGGTGACCAGGTGACCACTGCCAGTAGGAATGTCTCCTGGTTCAACCCTTTTGAAGAACAATATAATTCAAAAAAACTAAGACGGACGCTTCCGTATGACCCAGCAATTCCACTTCTTGGCATCTAGCCCAAGAGCTGCTTAACACTTGTCTAAAAAAAAAAAAAAATGCTCCCGTATTCACTGTGGCTCTATGCACAATGACTGAAGCCTGGAAACAACCTGGGAGTCCAAGAACAGAGACTGGGTGAAGAATCCATGGTGCATACACACAAAGGAATCCTACTACTCAGTTATAAGAAAAGATGGGCTGAGTGCTGAAAGCAGGTAAAAGGATATACCAGATACCCTTTCAGTGTCTGTACTGCAAAGCACAATGTCCAAAAGGAGAGAGAGGGAGAAAGAGAAGTCCTGCTATAGGCACTGTGGGGGCAGGGGAGGGAAACTGGGGACATTAAGAAAAAAGAAAGAAAAGATGCAGTCATGCAGTTTGCCAGCACATGGATGGTCTGAGGAGGATGGTGCTGAGGGAAGTCAGTCAGAGAGAGGGACAGACAGAATGATCTCTCGCAGATGGGACATAAAGAAGCTCAGTAAGGGTATAACAAACTGGTCCAGAGCAACACAGTGTGTGAACTGGTCTACACAGCTGAGCTTACCTAGTGGTGATTTGAGGTGGGGGGAAGTGGACTCTCGGCGTAAGGGTGACATTCTGTGCATGAAACCCTTACAGTACTATCACTGACAGTATCACACTGCCTACAATAACATTTCAAAATCACTGTCACTGTCACTGTCCTCCCGTTGTTCATCGATTTGCTCAAGTGGGCCCAGTAACATCTCCATTGTGACAGTTGTTACTGTGTTTGGCATAACAAATACGAAAATTTCAAAATAAAAAGTTTAAATAATATAATTCTAGAGCACAAGTTCCTACAATTTATGTGGCCAACCGCCCTCTTTTCAAAACAAAACAAAACAAAACACTCCCTGGGGTAAAAACGAAAACAAGTGCCTGCTTAATGGAACATCAACTTTCTTGGAGAAAACAACCGGTCACAGTCCTCCCATTGTTTATCAATTTGCTCCAGCGGGCCCAGTAACATCTCCATCGTGAGACTTGTTACTGTGTTTGGC